ATAGGTCCTCGCAAAAATCAGATCGTTTACAGCAGTACAGTTTCACGGCCTAAATAGTGCCTATTGACAAAACAACGCGGAAAATATATTCTCAATTTAGCGGTTCAAATCGGTTCGAACCGGTTCGAACCGCTTCGAACCGGTTTGAACCGTTATTTTTTGCGCCCCGGAACTGAACCGGAACTGAACCGAAAACCGTGAACCCGAACCCGAACCGAACCGATAAAAGTATCGGTTCGACACTCTGGTAATAGCTTACCGTGATGCTGCACTAGATATTGTCACGAGTGGCTAGGTGACGAAACAAAGAATAACTGAGTAAACGCAAACATTTAATGGGGCGAACTTATGCTGAAAACAAAAAGGAAACAGAAGATAACAACAAAGGATCGCGGACATCGAAGTCGGCGTAACAGCAGGATCGAACGCTGGGGCGAGACTGACTGCAGATCGCCACGCAGAGCCCCTTATGAACACGCGTTGGCTTCTGGAACAATCGACCTAGAAGGTTCGGCGACTGGAAAATTTGTACCTCGAACAAGCAACAGCTAGAGTTCTCGAATGTACAAGAACATTAAACTGAAAGAATAAGTAAAACACGCATCGCTCCCGGGAATCGAACCCTGGCTCTTTGCGTGGGAGGCAAGCACTATAACCGTCAGGCCACGGCCGCACTGCCTACCTGGCCAGCTGCGCGCGCGGCAATATGAAGATATGGCATGTGGAATTGAGTTTTAAATGCAGTTCATGTAGTGCAAAGGAACAAAACACACGGGCGGGCGAAAATGAACGACAACGTTGAGAGAATGACACACCAGGCGACGGCGGTACCTCAATCTGAGCCCTGGGCCTCGGTTCCTCGGAGGCGGCAGCTTCTACTTTGACTGGGCTACCTCCCTCGAGCCTGATGCTTCGACCCCAGTGGACCCCAGTGAGCAACAGCGCCATCATGCACCTGGGGCTCCTTCATGCACCAATCAGACGGCGTGCCAGTTCCCCATGGCTCGCTGCTGACCCGCCCAACCAGCCTCCACGAAATCTGGACTTCTGCGAATCGGACTGTCATCCTCCCCAATACCAACAATCCATGTCGTCGTCATCATGCATGTATATACTCATCACATTATCATGTTCACTAGATGCAGCACCGCGGGCCTCCATGGTACAAGCTTCTGCCTTTCTGCGGTGCCGCAGCTCTCCAGAGCCAAGAAATAAAGACTAAAGACTACATACAAACAATATGCAAAAGGGCCCAACTGATGAGACATAAAGTAATTCACTCCCTGGAAACCAGCAACGAAAAAATAATTCACAAAAATGGTTGCAACTAGCCTTGGAATCCAGCACAAAACATGTAAATGCAAATGACACAAGAAAAGCCAAATCGCACATCACACTCACACAACCACTTCTAAAGAAGACCTAACACAATCAAAAAGAACAGAAACCAAAATGCGACCAGCGCAAAAAGAACCACACTTCTTAAGTTACCTACTAAGACATCTAAACAGCATAACTGAATTATATGGAGACCAGTTTTTATATAATGGGACACAGCTTCACCAAAGACAGCACGGCCAGCACATCATTCTAAACACAGGTAAATAAGTCGTGTAAAGGGAAAAAATATATACAAACAATACATAGAACTAAGTGATCTGACACAAAGTAATAAACTTCCTTAACCAGGAAAACCAGTAACAAAAATATAAATTCACCAAAATGGTTGTGACCAGTCTTAAGGCCTAAAACAAAACAAAAACATACTCACAACACAAAAAAGGCCAAATCATGCAGCACACTGACACCACTCGTAGAGAAAACCACTACACAAGCAGGCGGGGGAAAAACAAAACAAAAAACACCAGCGAACAAAGGGAAACAAAGATCTGTTGTTTAGCCTCAAAAATACCAAGACAGTTCTTAGAATTAATCTAAAATGGCATAATGGGGCACAACCTCGCAAAAGTCCGCACAGCGGTAAAGGTCAAGCGGATAAAAGTTTGCCACATGATCTGGCGATACTGCCATGGTGTCGTCGCATTCCTTCACAATGCAGGAACATCTATGCTCGCTACAATGCAATGTGGTAAGACGCTGGCACAGGAGGATTAGCAGCGAACCACCGACAAGAAGTTTTTCAATTTTCAAGAATTGGGGAATGTCGTGCTCCACTTCATGAACAAACACATCGCCAAGGCGATAGCGAGAACTGTGGAGACTCGCAGACTTCACGGAGGAGAGCACCATCTCTGATGTGATTTCGGCGATGGCAGCTTGTTGGTCTCCTGGCAGCTCTACCACCTCCACTGGCTTGGCTCCAGTTGTCTCGAGAGGTGAGTCAAGGAGGTTCTCTGAAAGCTCGTAGGCCTGGAGGAGCTGGTGGCGTGTCGCAAGCGTGAGGCAAATGTTTCTGAAGTTCTTAACTTTGGAGGCAATGCTCTTGAAGTACGAGTGCTTCGCCTCAAATCGCATGCCCCAGAAGCGGCGAGGTGGCCCAAAATTAAGGATGTACTTCGGATAGTGCAGCAGGTAATGAAGCTTGGGCGTAACCCCTGCATTCGGATACTGTCTGGTGTACAGCTCCAAGAACTCCAGCACCTTCACTAGCAGATAGGGAATGCACTCCTTCGGAATCCTTTCGGCCAGGATGATGTCAACAACGTGACGATAAGCCAGGTACACCTTCCAGTGGGGGTTGCCTTCAGGGATGGAGTTTCCATACAACTGTGGATGCAGTCGAAAGAGGCAGCACTTCTATCTAGCTGGTCCTCTGAGGCTTGCCTTACCGGTGAGGAATGTGTCTCTGACTGCCACAGGTGCCGACTTCTTATCATGCAACCCATATCCAAAAGCTGTAACTCTCTCAAGATCCTGCTTCTGGAGCACTCTGTCTTGAATAAGGCCACCCAGGACTTGTCGAAAGACGTAACCGACACCCCCCTCGAGTATGTCGTGCATGGCGTCGGGTGGCAGCTGGTCGGTGACCTCAAAGTCGTTGAAACTTTGAAGATGGGACACATTGGAAATGCCGTACAGGGGACCATTTACTAAGGGATCGAGTGCAAAGGCATCAAGGTGGCTCTTGTGCACTGCGCTCGTCCTTTCGATGCAGCCTTCTACAGTATGCAGTTGCTTTAGGTCCTCATGCCGAGCTAAGCAGAATCGGGAGATCCGGCCCTTGCTGAAGGAGTACTGCAGTCCTGCTATGCGGTGCATAGACAAGTTTTCCCCGGTGAAAGCCACTGTTACTACACTAAAGTGCATGTTCTTGGCATCAATGCCATGTGCTGGAATGATGTTCAAGTCTTGCACCAGGGGAGCCAGCACTTTATCCAGGCCGTGATGCACAGCGACCGGGTACTCCACAAGTCGCAACAGGTGGATGGCATTCAGTTTCGACCGGTGCAGAGGGTGAAGATTGAGTATAGAAAAATACACTGCTAAAATCTTGTGTCGTCCAGCAGCACTGCCGAGGGGGTTCGTGATTTCCAGCTCATCCGTGTACAGAAGGAGGAATATAGTGTTATGGCAGGCATCTTGTGCAACTTGACGGTGTTGATGAACAAAGTCACCATCGGTAAAGTCGGAAAGTACATCCGACGACGTCGAAAGAGGCTGCATAAAACATTCCAGCATGTCTTCGGACTGTAGGAAACTTATCAAAAGCTTTTGCAACGGAATGTAGCAGAATGAGTCGTTACTGCTCGCATCAAGCGGCACCTCGGTGACTTCAGTATGCGGAAAATGTTCCGCGACATACTTTTTTCTTAGGTGGATGGTGCCCAGACCTGAGAACATGTCTTCAACCATCTCCGCGGCATTTAGACGTGATCGCAGTTTCTCCACGACGGATGATGCGACTTTTTCCTCCCCAAGAAGCCTCAGTGTTTGCTGGGTGCGATCGTGAAGGATTTGGTGCATGAGTGATCTCACTACAGCAAATATTTCATCTGCTGTGCTGAAGACAAGCTTCAACTTCTCGGTGATCCGAAGGTAGAACAGCACAAGCTGCTCTCGGATATCCCTAATCGCACCGTCTCTTGACGGGTCCTCACTGCAGCGTTTCTTTCATTCAGTGCGGGAGACGAGGAACGTTCTTCGCTTCCGTCAGCGCAATCGGTTCCCGTAGCACGTCCATTTGGAGTCGGAATTATCCCCGCTACTGCTTCGTGCGTAGGGTAGACGTGCTGCCTGTAGGCAAAGTAGCGGCGCAACGATGCCACACAGCTTCCGATCCCGCATATCACGCGAAAGTCCGACTCACAGCTGTGGACACTCATGTGGTTCACCCCTCGTCTGACGGACGTCCCTTTCAAAGCACATCTCGGGCAGTGAACAGCAGGCATCGTAAAAAAAAAGAAGAAAGAAAAGGAACAAAAGTCACGCAACATACAACAGCAGAGCAGTCATGGCAGCCACAAACCGCCGCGTCATAGCGTTACAGGTGAGTCGCGCCACTGAGCAGCACTAACCGAGTTGATCCAGCCGGCGAGGCACATCACTGAGCCGACTGAGCAACGATTTGAAGTATCGAATCGTTGAAAAAGAAGAAAAAAAAAAGAACAAAAGTCAGGCACGATACAACAGCAGAGCAGTCATGGCAGGCATGGCAGTCACAAATTGTCGCGTCACAGCGTTACAGGTGAGCCGCGCCACTGAGCACTAACCGACTTGATCCAGCCGCTGAGGCACAGCACTGAGCCGACTGAGCAACGATTCGAAGTATCGAAGGAGAGCAATGTTGGTATGTAATTATTTAGCAATTACAAATTGTATCTCTAAAACTTAAAAAAAAATAACGCAAGAACATCAAATGCAGATACATATACAATTTATTTATCCAGCACCGAGCCAAATGAGCCACTGTTATCCACTGGCTTGAGGAGCTGACTTGAGCTAGTGGGACACGTCTTTCTCTTGCTTTTCTTGCACCTGTTTGTCAGTTTTTGTTCTACTCGCGAGTTTCTATCCCAGCTGCCGTTTGTTCTACGAACGAAATGTTAAGGTTTGTTGGTTTCTACAAGAAGTTCTGTCGGCCTTTATCCATTTCGCTGGACTACACGCTGGAGACCACCAAGGATGCATTTTTGCTGAAATTTCCAGAAGTGAAAACAATGGACAGAATACTGATCCAGGTACGTCAGATATTGCCAATATCTATGTGTTTCTTTTTGCTTTCAATTACAGTCACAAACGGTGTGAGAACGGCAGGGTGGGATCTTCAGGGTTTCAGTTGTCCCGCCTCGATCGCGAATTTTCTACGATAACGCCCCGGCGTCTCTGCCTCGCGCATGCACGCCCAGCCAAAGCACGCCAGAAGGCGGCGAGCGCGCGCTGGAGACCGGGCATTCGAAAGAGACGCTCTGCCGTTCTCACCTTGTCGCTAAGCATACCTGTCCGCACTAGTAATAACAATCCATTTTCTATCGCTTGTCGGACGCATTTTACGATGTAAATAATTCAAACCGTAAAAAAAAAGAAGGAAAAAAAAAAAACAGGAACACAGATTGCAGGCATCAGTAACTTAAGTTTTTCCTTTAGGTCCAGCAGTGACAACTCTACATTCAACCGTTCTCAACTTGTGCGTGGAAAGACGCATTCCCAAAGAGCCAGAAAGTCCGCATTAAAACTTTTTTTTCTTTCCTATATTAAAAAAAATCGCATTTGGATTGAACGATGGCGCTCGAAAACCCGCATGCGCCCAGGGTCATTGGGTGAACTCAGTTGTGTAACTTCGCTACATTATGATTTTCGTCGGACACCCTGCGTGCTTGCAAATGACAGTATTTTCAAGTTGTATGAGGCTGTTATTTGCATTGACATGTTTTAAAACAATTACTCGTTTTCTTTATAACACATTACCATTTTTATTCCTGTGGGCATAAAAACATATTTAAATCCTCACCTGCCTAAGTTGCAAGTGCCTTTGCACGCACTATGCATTTGCAATTGATTTAACCAGTCGCCGGCAAAAACATTTTTATGGTTTTCACTATGTTTTACCCCTTAACCGATTTTAGTTATGGGAAACTACTAACCTTCAACTGCTTAATTGTTCTCTTCAAAATTACATTTGTTGCCTTTAAAATCAAATTTATAGCAAAAAAAAAATGGAGCAACATTAAAAGAAAATTAAGCTGCCATTTCTTGGCAGAGCCTCAAATTAAAGCATGAGCGAGCTTGATTTGTTTAAAGCGGTTGAGTGCAAGAACCGGGGAAATCCGACAAGTTATTCGCAACTCCAGCCCACCACTCGCCCTCTCGCGGACGAACGAAGAACCAGAGGTGCAGGGAAGGTGGCGGAGATGGCGGCAGGGATCGTCGCTCTTGGCGCTGCTGTTATAGTCAGCATGTTCGTGCATCATGCAGTTTTCACAAAAAAAAAACAAAAACAAATGTGTTATAATAGGAATTGTTATGGTCCGCTACGCAACAGTGTTGTGCAAAGTGACTGGGATGTATCATTCCTTAGGAACTTTTTGTAGATCGCATATGCTACGGATTTCGGGTCGTGCGGTCGCCAGCACAATCTGTGCTCAACGTGACCGCGAAAAGCTCCCCTTAGTATAGTACAAAGCTCTTACATGTGATCTACAAAGAGTTTATTCTTTCCAGAAAGTAGGAAAGAACTGCCTGTTTAACGGTGTATCGAGCAATAGACATCGGGGATGGGTTCCAATTTTATGCGCTGAAAGGCCATGACAAGAAACATGGCATTGGCTACAAGCACTTTCAAAAGGTAGACTATGCATACCTGCTTTCAGTTAGCTACGAAGGCAAATGAAGAAATGCTTGTAGCATTTTTTAGCATTTCTGTGTGCCGACCATGAGGTGTGCTTAGAATGGGCAGTTTTGACGATGCCTGTCTTGAGGATGTGAATAACGCAATACTAAATGTTTCTTTTGGCAGAGCAATAAATAAACAAAGTGTCTAGCGTTACGTCCGACGTAACCCCAAGGTACGTCCAAATCTCCGCCTTCCTTAGTTTATTGAGGGAGAGAAAGAGAGGAGGGCGGGGGGGAGGGTTAGGTCTGCATGTTTCAGTGCTCCGTTCAGACGTAACACCAGCCACAGCGATAAAAAAAGCCCTAAACATGCCGATGGCATTGCTATGCCGTTCTGGCATTGCATTACCGCAGACTACCATAAGTACGCAATGACCCTGGCGTGCGCTGAAAGTCATGCATAAGAGGTGCATGAAACTAAACATTTGAGAGAAATCTCTCTGGTTGGAGAATACAATAATTAAAATATGGCAACCAACCAATTCCTAAACATGTAGGAGCCCTACGTTTCGAACCGACTCGGTTCTTCGTCAGGGGCGACTGTGGCCGTTGAGGAGCAGCGTTTCTCTATCTTCTTTTTCTTCTCTTAGGGATGTGGCGCATTTCTCGATCTTCTTCTTTCATGAATATGGCGAAGCCCGTTCACATACACTGTTGGTAAAGCACCAAGGCACCTATTTATGTTGCCTGGCGTCGTTTGAATATACCAGGACTCGATTAAAAGCCTATGTCGGTTGTTAGTCTCTGCGTCGATATTGCTGGTGTTGTCGAAGTCAATCCGGTGGTCTTTGACTTCGCAGTGCTCGGCGACCGCGCTGCACTCGTAGAGGCCTTTAGATAATTTATATATATCGGCCACGGAGTTCTGGATCGTCCAGCTGTTCCGGTGAGTTGCTATCAATAAAAGGGAGAGATCTGTACATGTTCTTTTGTACTATGTTAACCATGGCTATGTCCCAAATCTACTCTAATAGATTCCGTGGGAGCACGAATAGGGCAACGTTGTGGAGCCAGGGGGGGTTTCGAAAGCAAAAGTACAAGACGGCGAGAATGAAAATCTTTGAAGCGCGGCCGATATGGTCGTGTGCAATCTGCTGACCAATTACAATTAGGCGAGCCGCGCTCAAACGTCAAGTGCAATTAAGTAGGTTGATAATAAGCCAACACTGATCAGTGATGAGGAGCTGTTGTGCACGGTATTGTGTAAATCGTCTAAGGACGAAAAAAGACGTACCTTCCCCCCATCTTCCGTCGCTAGTGGACGCTGGATTAAGCTCGTTCCTAAACCGCGAGGGGAAAAGACGCTGATCCAGAGGCACGAACAGCTTCACGCACATTGCACTCGCTAGACACATACACACGGCGTCGGTTCTTGGTCGGTATCCAAGCGCGCGAAGGCACAGAGACACGGCACTTCGGCGTGCCAAGGAAGCTTTGAACACGCCGCCAGCCCTTCCTTTCGACGCGTTGTGCCTTTTTCCTGCGACACTGCACTTCCGTAAAATTTTCCACGTGTTCACAACGGCAAGTCTCAACAATACACAGTCTTCAAAAATCTTCTTCGGCGAATGACGACGAACGAGTAGAAAACGTGTCCACAGCACGCTGGAAAACCGCAGCAAAGGCTAGCAAAAACGGCAAATAGTATCCCAAGCGAGTGAAGTCCGGTGGCTTCACTTGCACTGCAGCGAACAAGCGGGGAAGCGCGATCCAGCAATTGTCATAGAGATCAGTGAATGCGCCACATCCCTAAGAGAAGAAAAAGAAGATCGAGAAACGCCGCTCCTCAACGGCCACAGTCGCCCCTGACGAAGAACCGAGTCGGTTCGAAACGTAGGGCTCCTACATGTTTAGGAATTGGTTGGTTGCCATATTTTAATTATAAGAGGTGCAACACAAACTTCTCGTAGCAATGCCTCACTGCACGGTAGCCTGTGGCCACACTATGCTAAAGCTGCTTATTAGTAACCACGGTGCAAGTTGATCATGTGTTGCAGTGCACTAAAGCCGTGATGATGTGCAGTGAGCTGTGAGCCTCTGACACAGAGGCATTAATACTGTGAACGCTGCTCTACCGGAGCTTGGTGGTCACTATGTGTGACTCGCATTTTAGGGCACTGGTGACCAGGCACAGCGCAAACACCACAGTATTTTCACCCACCCGAAAAGCTATTTTGCCACACATAATGATGTGACCGGTGCTTAAAACACGCTCGGCTTCCACAAAGCATCACAAGATCTGTGATGTTTCTGCAGCTTCTAAAAAGCAAGTTGCTGGTTTTCCTAATCTATGCCAACGTGTCCGTCACTTGTGAAGCATTCATGCTTGACCATTTCGCATTTGTAGCCAAATAAATTATTTTGAGTACACTGACCAATGTCAGTGAGCAGGCGCATGGAAAATCTGTTCCCATCTCTTCTGCCATCTTGGAACTACAGCCCCACGTTCTATGGGGCATTGGAGTTGCGAATACTCGTCTTGAACGGTTTGGGAATGGCTCCACGTCGAGGAGCTTGGCTTGTCCAAAACTGTCAAAAGTGGTAAAGCATAGTGCTGGCAATATGTGGTTTTTGTCCCATGCTTGTAGCTGACAGACGACATGTGCTGGCAGTGCCGCCGGCAGCCATTACAATATATTGGGCATGGCTTTGAATGTTGTATGTTGTTCAGTGTTTATGGAAAGCTCCCCAACTGAAGTGATCTGTGCTTGACATAAAATATTTTGTGCTGCATTGTCAACTCCAGTATAGTTTCTGCAGCGGCCTAAAGATCTTAAAGCCACCGGTGCGAACACTTGGCTTCCTTCACTGTCTCCTTCACACAGGACAGCATGCAAATGTGACACAAACGGAAACTGCATGCTCTCACAGCAATGTGAGGCAGCAGCACTGTGGAAGCTATGCTAGCCTTGACAATGTTGACAATGAACTTCTTCAGTTTACCTGCACTAACCTGCACCGGTGCAGGGAAATGCAGGGCAATATACTTACGGCTGTGTTTTGAAATAGGCTGTTTCCGAATCGAACGCGCTTGTGCTAAACTTCTGCACCAATGCAGGAGGCACAGGTAAATATATTGCAGCAATCGACTGAGCCTACTGGTCAATGCTTGGTCCCAATGTCTCCACCAACAGTCTGGCTTTGGGCAAATCGGTGAACGACTATACATGAGATACATAATTGTTATCTGGTATTAACTCTCTTGCTGTTTTTGCGTGACTTTTTTTACATTACATTGCTCAACGGTTTGGGGTAGGAATATGAGGGGATGCGGTAGGACATTGGGGCTGGTAAAGTGTCAAACGTGCTTCAAAGCATTCTGTTGTAGTTTTAGAAAGCAAGGTTGTTT